CCACCACCACGGTCACCGCCGCCACGACGGTCACCTCTGCCGCGGTCAGCCGCGGTCACCGCCACCACCACGGTCACCTCTGCCGCGGTCAGAGCCACCACCACGGTCACCGCCACCACCTCTGGATCCACAGCTTCTGTACAATTTTCAGACTGGCGCTGCATCGATCCTCCCTCCCTTTGCCCTGTCGTTCCCTTTTCTCCTCTCCGTTTCTTCTAAACACCGCTTTGCCACTTTCTCCCTTCCCCTCCTCAGCTCTCCTTTCCGCCTTTCTTCACTGACCGGCAAGGGGAAGAAATCCGCTTGTGTATTCTTTTGTATCAGCAGAGCTTAGCGCTTACTAAGTAACTGACAGATGAAGAAACAAGGCCCAGGAGGAACCTTGCAATTTCTAACTTATAACTGGCTTTCTAACGGCCCTGTAGGTCCCCTGACTCCACAGACAGTAATCTTTCAAATATCTCAGATCAGATGCAGGTAGTTCTGCTGTGAGACATATTAACGAAAACGTTCGGTTCCATAAATTTAGAGCAAACACCCAAAGTACGCCAGTAGCGACATCAGGCAGTGACGTCGAGCCCTGCGCATGCGCACGGGGGTGGGGTTGCACCTTAGTGCGCATGCGCGAGTGGTCACGACTGGTCGCACCCATTTCGTTATCATCAGAAAAGCAAATTTCCAAAGCAAAATTATTGCTGGACTGCCTCACCCCCACTCCACTCCCACTCCATGGGAGCTGCGATAGAGCCAAATGACCCCGGAGGTGGAAAGCAACTGGGCAATGTGATACTATCCTGCCTACTTGTTAATTTTCTTAATAAACTTGGAATAGGTTTTATTGCCAAGTTTGAAGGCCCGACCCAACTTAGCCCCAAGAAGGTTGAGCTTCTGGCATTTTCTAATGGAATGGCAACCAGCAATAATTCGACTCTCCAGGAGGTGGCAGCAGAGCCTCACAGACCAATCACCAAAGGCGTTACCACTCATTAAAGGTAAGTCTTTTCTCCATCCACCAGTCCCCCTGCTAATAGCAGCAAAGCTGCACTAGCTGACCCAAGGTCCGATGCATGAGCTTGCAACAAAATCTAACCCCACACCTTGGTACCCCCCCGACACACACAATCTTTCCAGTGCCACGGAGATGCAGGCCCCAGGAAGTTCGGGGTCACAGTGTTCAGTGCTACAAAAGATTTCTGCAGAACAAAGAGGAATAGAGGGGGAAAGTGGAACTTGTGGCTGGGCTTGAATAAAAAGAATATTCAGAATGCCTTATTCATAGTTACATGCTAACAAAACTGATAACAAAAGAAATGAGGAATAGTTTAAAAAATATTTAATATACACATTTTCAGAAGATCAGATAGAGGGCTAAATAACCAAATTTCACAAAAAAAAAAAATTTAAAAGGAGTTGCAGGAGAGAAAACCTCTTGGTCCTAATAGATTCACAGTAGCTTTTAAACATTTAAAGAAATATTAGTATCAATATTTCACAAATTATTCTCAAAAACTCACAAAGAAAACATTCTAGCAGATCTTTTTATAAGATATAGTCCTAATACCTAAAATAAGGAAAGATAAAATACAGAACAAAAACTATACATCACTATCATTAATGAAAATCCTGTCAAGAATTAATCGCTACAGAGAAAATGGATGCAAGAATGACTAAAGATGACTAAAGATGCAAGGACGGCTCAACATTAGGAAAACAACATAATCTTAACAGGTCCAGAAAGAGCTTTTGACAAACTACATCACTTTTTAAGAAGTGCTAAAACCCTACAAAGTATAGACATAAAGGAACCTTTCTTAATCATAAAAACTATCTATCTAAAACCAAAAGCAAGCATCATATGCATCACCTACTATGTGCCAGGCACTGTGATAAGTGCTTAACAAATATTATCTCATTTGATCTTTACAACAACCCTGGGGGGTAGGTGCCATTGTTATCCCCATTTTACAGTTGAAGTCACACAGCCAGTGTCTGAAGCCAGATTTGAACTCATATTCATAACTTCAGGTGCAGTGCTCTATTTATTACACCCCCTACCTACCCCATTCATTACCTTATTTGATACTACAACTCTGTGAAGTAGGTGCTATTATTATTGCCATTTTACAGTTGAGGAAATTGAGATAAAGGTTAAGTAACTTGCCCAAGGACACACAGCTAGTAGGTGTCCAAGGCTGGATCTGAACTTAGGTCTTTCAGACTCCAAGTCCAGCACTTTTATCTGCTGTGCCTACCTGCAAAGAAAGAAACTGAGGGCATAGAGATAGGTAAAGAGGAGATAAAATTGTAGCTGATGATGTGATGGTATACTTGGAAAATCCTAGGGAATCAGCAAAGATACTAATAGGTACAATAGCTTCAGCCAAGTTGCAGGATACAAAATAAATCCTAAAAAATCAATAGCATTTCTTTATAATATTACAACTTAAAGGACAAAAATAGAAAGGGAAATCCCATTCCAAATAACTATAAAATGCATAAAATATCTGGAGATTAGCCTACCAATGCACACAAAGGATGTGTATAGATTTAATTATCAAGTGCTCCTTAAAAAAAATGAGCAAAATATGTATTCATAACCAAACAAGAGATAGAGACAATTAAAAAAAATAAAATCGATAACTTTGATTACATGAAACTAAAAGGCTTCTTTCTGCACAGACAAAATTAATGCACCCAGGATAAGAAAGGAAGTGGTCAAATGGGAAAAAAAATCTTTCTATAAAACTTCTCTGATAAGGATTTGGAATCCACAATATATAAACAATTACATATATACATACAGATACATATGCGTGCGTGTGTGTATCTCTCAAATAACCATTCCCCAACAAATAAATATGGGGCAGCTAGGTGGCATGGTGGATAGAGTGTTAGGCCTAGAGTCAGAAAGACTCAATTTTTTGAGTTCAAGTTCAGCTTCAGACTCTTACTAGCTGTGTGAACCTGGGCAAGTCACTTCACCCTGTTTGCTTCTGTTCCTCATCTGTAAAATAAGCTGCAGAAGGAAATAACAAACCACTCCAGTATCTTTGCCAAGAAAACCCCAAATGCAGTCACAAAGAGTCAGACACGACTGAAACGGCTGAACAACAACAATAGATAAATGGTCATGGTCAAAGAATATGCACAAAAAGTTCTCAGAAGAACAATACTTTGTGAAACAAAGTATTCACAACCATATGAGAGAATGTTCCAAATCACTAAGAAAAATACAAGTCAAAATAATCCTGAAGTTTCACCTTTCAACTTGAAAATTGGCAAAGATGACAGAAAATGATAATAGTCAAGGAGAGGCAGTAGAATGGCAGGCACACTAATTGTTGGTGAAGTTGTGAAATGGTACACCCATTTTGGATATCAATATGGAATAATACAAATAAAGGGATTAAAATGTTCATATCCTTTGAACCAGAGACTACATTACTAGGCTTATGCCCCAAGGCATAACATTGTTATGACTTCATCAATAAGAAGAAAGTCCACATATACACCAAAATATTTACAGCAGCACTTTTTATAATAACAAAGAACTCTGTGTTCTGCTGTGTACAAGGAAATGTTCTTTCCTTTTTTTCTCTCATTTTGTATTTAAGTTTAAAATGAATAAAAAACTTATGATAGCAAAGAATTTTAAACAAAGCAGATGCCTACTGAATGGGGGAGTAGCTAAACAAATTGTTGTACGTGATTGTAATGGAATATTATTGTGCTGTAAGAAGGATATATGTGACACAGAGAAGCATTAAAAGATCTACATGAACTAATGCAGAGTGAAGTAAGGAGAGCCAAGAAAATAATATATATGATGATTACAACAATGTAAAAGGAAAGAATAATCAAACACCAAAAAATCAAAAGTAAATGTAACAAAATCACAGAGCTCAAATAAGACTTGAATGAACATACTGAAAGGACACCCCCAATCAACCCCTTTGTGAGGGTGGAAGGTCCACAGGTGTTATACATAATACATGTTTTTAGACTTTTTCAATATTTCAGTTTGCTAATTTTTTTTCATCCTTAAAAAGTTCTATTTGCTATATGGAGTGTCTCTCTGGGAGGGAGAGAGATACTAGGAATAATTATGATGATATAAAAATATCAAAAATCTTATATTTTTATGAAGGAAGTTAATGGAATCTTTTCTATGCAGATGATGTTTGAACAATTTCTTCAATGATCAACTGAGGTTCCATTTTAACTGAAGGCTCACATAAATCATGATATTTATAGCATTTCATCTGATTAAGAATTAACCAATGCTTAGGGACATTCAAACTCACCCCAAAGCTTTCTTTTACAAATTACACTTGTAACATTTCCCTCTGACATGCAATCTCTTATGTATGAAATGGGACAACTTGCAACAGAAGACTTCTACAGTGACATTCACAGTAATATTCCATGATGTGATTTTTGTTAAGCTTTTAGTGTTCTATTATGACAAAAGGATTTCCCACACTCATTTTGCTCACAGAGTTTTTTCTTTGTGCTTTCTCTTATATATAAGATAACTGGCATACAACTGAAGGCTTTCCCACAGTGCTAGGAAGATCTATCATAATAGGTTGTGGACTTTATTCAATCACCAATTCATGTATTTAGAGTGTTCCTTTACTTTTTGATTCAATGTTGGATGAAACGTTTGTGGAAGGGGTTTCTTTTGAATTGGTTTAATAATAATTACTTAGAGAGTATCTCATCAATGTGAATCGCTTGGTGACCAGTGAGGGTTCTCTTACCTATGAAAGCTATGCCATACTCATGAATCACATAGCTTAACATCAGTGAGGACTCTACTATTGAATGGCAAAGCTACAATTTAAAAGTTCTTTCATAATCACTGCATTTATAATATTTCTCCCTAGTATGAGTTCTCTATCAAGGAAAGCCTCAGACCCTCCTAAAAGCTATGCCACAAATTACATTTATATGGTTTCTGTTATGAAGAATAGAAATAGAATAGAAATCTAGAATAGAAAGTATGTCTTACAAATGAAGGCTTTCCTAAACTAACATTTATTTCTCCCCTGTTGCTCAACAAGTGTTTTATTCTTTTAAAATCTTCCCCACTCTCTTCCAACTCCTTATTTTTCCTCCTTGTGAATTACATGATGATCAACAAGGGTTATGTTCCTTGTAAAAAAAATTTTCACACTATTTTCATTCATAGCATTTGTAATGTGACTGGTGATCAATCAGAGTTTTCTTACAGTAAAAACTATCCCATACCCATTAAGCTTATCACTATCAATTCCCTGGAGTTGAATGTTAGATCTATGATAAAAAGTTCCTTACGCATGAATTTCATCATCTTCCTCCTCAGTATGGTTTAACCGATGTCGAGAAAAGCTTGAATTCCACATAAAAGCTTCCCCACATACCCGACATGTGTATGGTTTTTTCTTGCTGTGAGTTCTGTGATGTACTGAAACATATGACTTACGAACAAAAGCTTTCCCACATTGATCACATGTGTAGGGTTTCTCACCAGTGTGAATTCTCACATGTTCAATAAGGTTTCTATTTCGTGTAAAAGTTTTCCCACACACTTTACATTCATGTTTTTCCTTCTCTCCAGAGTGAATTTTCTGGTGAAGAACAAGGGTTCTATTTCTTGTAAAAGTTTCCCCACAATCTTTACATTCATATACCTTTTCCCCAGTGTGAATTCTCTGGTGAGAAATGAGGCTTCTATTCATTCTGAATGACTTGCCACACTCTTTACATTCAAACAGTTTTTCTTTCATGTGAACTCTCTGATGTTGAAGAAGGGATCTGCTTCTTGAAAATGTTTTCTCACACTCATTACATCTATAGGGTCTCTCTCCAGTATGAATTCTCTGATGATCAACAAGGTTTCCTTTTCTTGTAAAAGTTTTACCACACTGTTTACATTCATGGTGATTTGGCCGAGCTCGGATATTTATGTGTGGATTAAAGACTGACATGTGACTGGCCATTTCCCCACACTCATTATGTTCACACAGATTTTTATCAGTGTGTATCATCTGATGAATAAGGGGGTGGAAAATTCTACCAAGGCCATGCCCACCACAATTATTATATTCTTGGGTTTGTTCATTCTCTGATAAAAAATTTTGTTCAGTTATCTGATTTTGACTAAGTCCTGGCAGGAGACTAGAAGCTCTCCCATCCTCATCACATTTATCAACTCTCTCTTCATTCTGTTCCAACTGTTCATCATATTTATAGACTTCCTCTTGTTTAGGAACGCTTTGATAAATACTAGGATTTGAGCTAACATGTTCCCCCAAATTCTCATCTGACTCCTCTGTGGTAGTTTTTGTTTCCTTGACTACCATGTATTCAGAATCTCCTTCCTCTACCTTCACTCTTCCCAGTGTGGGGTTTCCCAACTGCCTCTCCCACCCAGCCTTCTGTTTGTAAGATGCTCTAACCTCAGGTTGATCAGAAACATTGCTCTGGACGTTTCCCAATGATGCTGCTGGTGATTTTTCAGAAATTTCTTGCTTTATAGTAGTCACCTTCTCTTTCTCAAATTTGACTTCACCACCTGAAACAAAAAGAAATTCAAGAAAAGACATTGGTTCTCTTTGTTAAGGAATGGAAAAAATATCAAGCAATACTCAAATATCCTATTATAATAGGAGTGCATGGCTTTCATTTAAAAAAAAAAAGAACTCTAAGAGGTAAGAAAGTAAAAAGTACCATGGACAAAACACTGGAAAGAGAATCATTCAATAACAATTTCTGGAAAAACGGGATACTAGTTTAGGAAGAGCTAGGGTTACATTCTCATGTCCTACAATAAATCACACTTAAGTTCCAAATGGCTCCATAAATAAAGAGATAAAGAGATGTGCTATCGATATATGTGTATATATAAGCATATATAATTTAGAACAAAAGGGAATGATACATTTATCAAAAGTGTGGAGATAGGAAATTTGATATAGATTTGAATAGAAGAAATCGTAAGAAACAAAATAGTTGAACTTTATCTTTTTTAAAATAATTTTGTACAATAAAAAGTCATGCATCAAAAATAAAATGTAGAGAAATTTTTGCAGCAAATAACTGTGATAAAAATCTGTACTGACACAAATTTATAAGAGTAAACTCCATTATTCAAAAAGTATTGAACAGATGTTATCAAAGGAAGAAACACAAATTGTTGATACACACCTGGCTTTCTTCAAGTCCCAGCTAAAAATCTATCTCCTACAAGAAGCCTTTCCCAACCCCTCCTAATTCTAGTGCCTTCCCTCTGTTAATTATTTCCTATTTATCCTGTATATAGCTTGTTTGTATATACTTGTTTCTTCTCTCTCCAATTTAATTATGAGCTCCTTAAGAGCAGAAACTATCTTTTGCCTCTTTTTGTATTCCCAGTGCTTAGCACAATGCCTGGCACATCATAGGCACTTAACAAATGTTTATTGACTGAAGATACTCATATATGCCATTCACAAATTTCCATGGCATTCAAATCTAATTTTTTTCCACTATGTTAACTCTGTATGTTCCTTTATCTTTCTGTTGGATTTATCTAATGCTGAAAAAGGAGTATTAAAATCTACTACTATTATTATGTTCTTATTAATGTCTTTATAATTCATCCAATTTTTAAGAATTCACATGCTATGCCATTTGGTATATGTGCACATATACAGAACATTTTTTCATTGCTTTTGTGTGTAATATTACTTGTTTCTCTTTATCAAATTTTATTGCTGCCAAACCTGACTTTGTGATTATAATACCTGCTTTTTTAAAGTTTCTTGAAACAGTTTACTCTACTCCCACATTTTCCTTCTAAATATATCTATATGCTATAAAAATGTTTATTATGTGCAATAAATGTGTGAAGTTTAGGGTTTGTACTTACTTTCTTTTCATTTGGAGTGTTTAATCCATTCCTATTTCACTATGATTGATGTACACCTGCATTTTCTACCATCTAACTCTCATATAGCTTCCCTCCTTTTTTTAAGTTTGATTAAGTTTCTGTGGTTTATTTTTATTCTTGTCATTGATTTGATCCTGGTCTCCTCCTACTCACTCTTCCTCAACATCCCCTAATATCCTGACCTAGCTAAAGTTCCTGGAACTTACTTTTATTATTTTTCTTTCACTGTCTCTTTTTACTACATTCAGATTAGCATGTTAAGTACCTAATTCTCCCTGCTCTACCTCATCTCCTACCTCATTTAATCTATTAATTTCAAAGACATAGATCTGTAATGTCCTATTCTAAGAAATGTTGTTTGTTGCAATAAAGGATCTCCATTTTGCCTGATTATCCTACTCTTTCCTTCTGTTCTTAACTGTCCTGTTATTTCCCTCTTTCTCCCCCCAGCACTGTCATTTTTAAAAAAAAAAAATCCTACATGTCTAGCTTTTTATAGGCCTATGAAAATATTACTCTCATTTCTTAATCTCTTATTGCTCTTATCCATTCACCTCTAGCTCCTTTTGAAGAAATTATTCATATTCTTCTCCTTTACTAAATGGTCAGTTTTTGTTGTTGATGATTAATCTCACAACTTATTTGGAGATACAATCTAATATGCTTTGCTTTTTATAATATTTTATTATCATTTTTCTCTTAGTGTCTCATAAATAATTAATAGACTATGGTATTCTGGATGACTTTCCTTGGAAGTTGAAAAGATTTTTTTCTTGGCTGCCCACAATATCACACTGTTTAATGTAATTCTAAAGGTTAATTATGACATTTCTTGGTGAATTAAACTTAGAGTTTCTTTCTGTTGGTGTTTTATGAACTCTCTTGATCCCCATATCTTTTCCTATGGTTTACTATTCAGGGGAATGTTTTAATTTTTTTTCAAAAATACATTTTTATTGTGTGTATTTTTTTTTGCTTTTTATTCCTTCATTTTTCCTCAGTTGCTACAACTCTTCTTTAGTTTCTCTTCACATATATAATTATATGGCTAATACATATCACACATGTAATCTCTTATTACATATCATATAATTATTTGTTCTTATATATCACATATGTAATTTCTTATGGCTCAGTAAAATTCCATTACATTCCTGTACCACACTTTGACCATTTGCAAATCAACCTCATTTGATTTTTAAAAGAATCTATTTTGGAAATGTCCCCTGTTGTTTGTTCTAAATTCTCTACTCCTTTCTTAGATTTTCTTTCTCAAGAGAGTTCTAATTTCATAGGATCATAAACGTAGAGTCAGAAGGGACCTTAGAGGTCATTCAGTTCAACCTTCTCATTTTATCAATAAGGAAAGTGAGACCCAGGAAGGTGAAATAACTTGCCCAGCATCACACAACTAGAGATGGGATTCAAACCCAACTCTTATTCTTTTTAAGTTTACTTTTTTTTCTATCAACAAAGATCTATTTGCTCTACCTCCCAACTCCTCTCCCCCTCTTCATTTTACAGCACAATAGTATTCCATCACATTCATATACTGTAATTTGTTCAGCCATTCCCAATTGATGGGTACTCCCTTAGTTTCCAGTTGGTTCTTTTCTACCACAAAAAGAGTTACTATAAATATTTTTATACATATGGGCCCTTTTCCTCTTTCTTTGTTCTCTTTGGGGTACAGACCTAATAATGGTATTGCTGGGTCAAAGGATATGTACAGTTTAGTAAATTTTGGGGCATAGTTCCAAACTGCTTTCCAAAATGATCAGATCAATTTACAACTTTATCAACAGTGAATTAAAGTGCCTCAAACTATCCCTTTAAGTAATATAATCTAGGGGCAGCTGGGTGGTGCAGTGGGTGGAGCTCTGGCCTTGAAGTCAAATCCTGAATTCAAATCTGGCCTCAGATACTTGACACTTACTAGCTGTGTGACCCTGGGCAAGTCACTTAATCTCGATTGCCTCATCAGAAAGCAAAATAAATAAATAATACAATTTGGTATAATAATGCCCTATCCTCTTGTCTAATCTGTCTTTTCTAGATTTTTCTAGATTTTGTTGCTACTTCTCCCTTTTGGTTTTCCTCCTACCTCTCTGATTGTTCTTTTCAATATCCTTTCCCAAATCACTATTCATGGCACGTGCCTCTGTCCGAGGCCGCCTTCTTTTTTCTCTGTATTCTTTTCACGTGATGATCTCATCAATTCCCAAGAGTTCAGTTATCATCTAAATTCAGGTAATTTTCAAATCTATATATTTAGGCCTAGTCTCTCTCGTGAGTTCTAGTCTCCCATCACAAACAGCCTATTACGACTTGGAACCAGATATCTATCTCATTTGGATCTCAAATTAAACATGTCTAAAACTCCACCCCTCTTCTGAACTTCCTTGTAACTATTAAGAGAACACTAGCCTTCCATTCACCCCGGCTCATCCTCAGTGACTCACTCTGCATAGCTAATGAGTTGCCAAATACTTAATCTTTAAATTCCCACACTATCTCTCATACATCTCCTTCTCTGCATTTATGGAGCTGCCACTCTCATTCATGCCTTCATCACCTTTCACTAGGACTATTACAACAGCCTATAATTGGGCCTCCCCACTCCAATACATTCTCCTAAAGAGTGGGTCTGACCATATCAGCCCCCTAGTCAATAAACTCCAGAAGCTCCCTGTCACTTCTAGGATAAAATATAAACTCCTCTGGCATTTAAAGCACTTTACAACCTGGTCCCTTCCCACCAGCCCTCACATTACTCCCCTTCACACATTCTGTTCAGTCAAACTGGCCTACTTGCTTCTCCATCTCTAGTATCCATGCCTTTGCACTGGCTGTTCCTCATTTGTGGAATGCTTTCTATCCATACTTCTGCCTTTGGGAATCTCTGGTTTCCTTCAAGAATCAGCTAAGCACTCCCTCCAACAAGAGTCCTTTCTTGGTGACCTTCCTTGCCTTTCTCCCCCAGGCGCTACTGCCTTCCCATCTAAAAATACCTTTTGTCTGTTTTCTATGTGTCTAGTATTTACCTATATGTATTCATGTTGTCTTACCCCTTTTAATGTAAACTCCTTTAAGGAAAGGACTGATAGAATTTTGTCTTTTATCTCCAGCATTGAGCACAGTGCCTGATATAGTAAGCAATTAATGAGTGCTTATTGATTGATCATTTGATGTGAAACAAAGATTACCAAAGGTTTGCAAATAATGATGAAGGGAATGCTAAGCATAATAATAACTTCATTTCTTTAGCATTTTAAGGTCTACACAGTGCTTTCTACACAACAGTCCTGTGAGGCAGATGATATAAGGATTATTAGCTCTTTCTCTTTAAGGAAACAAAGGATCAGAGAGTAGAAGTGACTTGCCCACAGTCACATATCTAATAAGTGGCAGAACCAGTATTTGAACTCAGGACTTCTAGAATATGGAAGGCAAGGAGACCCACTATTCATCCAAAAAATGAGTTAACAGAACATGAGAATGTTCCCAGTTACTGTACAAATATCTAATAAAGGACAGTGTGGGGTTTGAAGTCAAAAAGGATGCTAAGTTTAATCTTTTGTTGGCATTATGCTAGAGTGCCATGCTTACTTGGGTGACAGGACTCAACTGCCACAAGAGTAGGAACCTTATGGTTTAACTTCCTTCTTGATTTTGTTTAGTCAGCTATTTCTCAAGTATAAATTCATATTTTTCAATTATCAATTCTCAAAACTTTTAGTCTATGGATGATTTTGTCAAAATGAAAAATAATAGTTTCTATTTCTGTTATGCTTTGTAAACCTTAAAATACTTTTTCCACAGCAACCAAGAGACATAGTTGATGGAAGTACTATGATTCCTGTTTTAGAAGTAAATAACCAAGGCTAAATATTTTGCCTAAAGAAACAGCAAGTAATTGTCAGAGCTGGGATGTGAACCCATGTGTCAGCTCCATGCCATATTCTCTTTCTAATATACTTAATGCCTCAAAGAAAAGGGGAAAACTTGAAGAGTTTTCCTCACTCACCTGCACAAACAAACCTTTGACCTATGTCCCGAGCTTCCTGTAGATTCCCAGATACTTGCTCCAGCTTAGAAATCACAAGAGGTTTAGGAAATAGATACGCTATTCAGGAGAAGAAAAAAGGGGTAGGTTAGAGCACGGCATCACACTGCTTTATCCCACAGCCTGATCTCAACCCTATTCTTCAAGGGAAAAGGGCAAGAAAGAAGTGGAATGTTCAGGGAGACTCTGGAAAGAAGGCCCAAAGGAAGGTGAAGGGACCTAGGGAAAGGTTTTCAAGGCTTTTTTTTTTTTTTTTTTAACCAAAGAACAGGAAATAAAAAATCTAGGCCAGATACACAGTTATACTTTTCTTGAAGAGGGTGGAAAAGTAGAGAAATCTAGACAGTGAGCAGCTGGGTAATTTTTAGCTTACAGTTTAAGATAAGTTTAGACTTTTCACAAAAAGACCAAGAAGGACTGCAAAGGGAGTAGGGGTGACTGGTGAGGATTCTGAGTCAGGCAGACAGTTAGAATATCGCATACTTCCAGCTCCACAGAGTAAAGCCCACAGGAACGATCACTAGAAAACAGGACACGAGGATCCTCTGCCCCACTGCAAAGGGATCATAAGGCCACTCCTGCCTGGCAAGGCATCCCCTAAGGATGGGGGATTAGAACCACGTGACTCCCAAATACTGACGAGAAATAAACAGAGTACCACTCGTTAACAATTTCTTCATCTTTAGGCAGGAGAGAAGGTAAAGCCTTACCCAAAGACTCTATGTTCCTATAATTCTCCAGCATCACGTCCCTGTACAGGACCTTCTGAGCAGGGTCCAGACTTGCCCATTCTTCCTTCTGGAAGTATACAGCCACATCTTCAAACATCACTGTCTCCTGAAACAATATGTTCCTGATGTCCCAAGGACTGTCCCACCACTCAGTCTCTATGAGGCAGGAGTGACATGCATTATTGTGAGTGCATGCGAGAAGCAATGAAAAGGAAAGAAAAGCCCAAGAGCTCAGGCCAAGGAAGGATAGTTGTATGCGGGCAAGTAACTCCTAAGATTAGGGAAGGAGCCACTGCTACAAAATGCCAGGAAGAACAAAGAGAATTGTTGCTTACCTGAGGCCTGGTTTTCAGCGATTGAGACACCACAGCCTGATCTCTTGTATGGGCAGGAACCTGAGGAGTATGAAAAACTGAAGAGAAAAGAAAGCCATAAATGAGACCAAATCTGCAGCTTCCTCTCCACACCCTCCCCCCACCCCAGTGAAGACGCAGAAAATGCAGAGATCCAAAAAGAAACCTATCCCAGGTCCTGACTATTATAAATAAGAAATTATATCTCTTGTGTGTACAACAGTATTCCCTATAGCCTTGGGGTAAGACAGTGAGTGACTGTGGGGACAAACTCTGGCACTAGAGAACACCCACTGATTTTGGAAATAGTAGATTCAAGGCTCAAACGCAAACTCAAATTTTAAAAAATACTCTGAATCCAAATAAGTGTGTAGGGTTTAGAGCTAGGAGACACCTTAGAGATCAGTTAGTCCAAAATCATTTTAAACAGAGACCCAAAAAGCTTAAGGGCCTTTCCTGAGGTCACACAGGTAGTAAGTGACCGTGCCAGGATTAGAACCCAGGTCCTCTGATACAAATCTAGGGTCCTTTCCACTACAACTCTAATGTGTTTCAGCATACTATACAAAATAACTTATACACAGGGAGCTTCAAAGGGTGTTGTGAAAAGATACAGAGAGGGTTGCCTTTGAACCTCCTCTAGATGAAGACCATCCTCAGGGAATCCAAGCTGGAGGGAGTTCACAAGGAACAATGAAGCAGGCCTGCAATTGGAAGAGGCAGTGAGAAGGGAGGAGGCTCCAAAATAAAGGTGGACCAGTACACCAGTGCCAGAATAAGACAGGGGGCCAGGGGCAGTACCATTCAGAGGATCCTCGAGGTGGAACATCACTGCGTCATAAGCAGGGTCCAAGAGGGTCCCAGGGGAAGGGCTACCATGGAGAAGTGGAACAGAAAGAGCCGCCAGAGATGCCGTCCCCATCCATGGCACATCCTGTCCTTGGGCGTGGGCTGAGACCTGGAGACAAAGAGACAAAGTTGAGCCTGTGAGGTATTTGTGGGAACAGAAACCTGAATCTCAGAGGAGGAACCTTCCTACGTGTCTGACTGTTCCTTAATCTCCCTTAGTGGCTCATCACACATTTCATGTCCCTTAACTGTGGACGTTCCCCAAGGATATGTCCTAGGCTGTCTCCTCTTTACGTTCTCTTGAGTCAAGAGTGGGAGAAAAAAGCCATGACTTCAGACAAGAGAGTCCACTATGAGCTGCCAGAGTCAGAGGAGGCAACCCAAAAGTAGGCATGGGGCCAGGGTGGGCAGGACTTGACTCCAACTCCTCCTCTCTCTCTAATTTATCCTGCTTCTAGCTTGTTTGTAACATAGCTGTTTGCCTGTCTCCCCCTTTAGATTGTGCTCTCCTTGACAGCAGAGGCTGGCTTTTGTATCTCCTGCTCTTAGCACAGGGCTTGGCACAGAGTGGGTGCTTAATAAGACTTAATCAGATTAGCTCAGAAAAATGGAGAGAAGAAAAGAATACAATCCGGGGGAGGGGGACGGTTGGTACAGAATCACAGGAAAGAGGATACACAAAAAAGGCAACAGTGAGGAAGAGTGACATCGGCTCCAATTTCTGTCACACTGTAAGTTGTACAAGGTGCTTTCTTCACAATGATCTTGTGAAAGTAGATTCTAATTAATGGTGAAAGGAACCTTAAAGATCATCTAGTCCAATCCCCTCATTTTACAGATAAGGAAATTGAGGCAACATGAAAAACCACTAGATTTGGAGGTGGCAAACCTAGATGACCTCTCCATTGAGGCTCAAAAAAGGCTAAATGACTAGGTTAAGGTTGTACAGATAATGTAAGTATTATCCCCATTTTAAAGATGAGAAAACTGAATCTCTGGAAAGGGAAACAGGCTGTCTGAGGTCACACAGAGAGTGAAACGTCCATGCTGCAATGTGAACTCCAACAGCCCAATGTGAGGTTCAGCTAAGATTCTATCATATCACTCTGCCTCTTCAGGAGATCAGTCTGTCTATAGCAGAAATATACATAGGGCTAAACTGGGAAATAAGACTTAAAGAGATGGTCAAAAGTCAGACTGAGGAGTGTGCAGTCATAACTGCATGCAAGGAGAATGGGAAACAGAAGAGAATAAAGACAGGAATCTGTGAAGAGAGCAGTGACAGTACACCAGCGCAAATAAAGGCTTGAACCAGGGTGGGAGCAATGGGGAGAGAAAGGATGAGTTCAAACCTAAAAAGCAGCAATGAAAAAAACTTAATGACTAAGTGATTCTGAAAAAAATGGAGGTAATTATCTTGTTGGGGAAAGAACCCTTTCTTTGGATTCAGAATAATAACAATTAATAATAATAATAATAATAAACTCCAGGCCCAGTGCTCTAACCACAGTGCCATCTACCTCAGAAGACTTTGATGTGAATCCCCAACTCTGCCACTTACTAGCTGTGTGACTTTGGGCAAGTCACTTCAGTTCTGAGCCTCAGTTTTCTCATTTATAAAATGGGTACCTGCATTACCTTCCTCATAGGACTGTTATAAGAATAAAGAGAATGTGTTATGTATGGTGCTTTATAAATTATAAAATTTTAGATAACTATCACCTGATAGTAGCATTATTATGGAAAAATGAAAGATCACACTAAAATTTAGAGGTTAATGTACTAGAAGAATGATGCTACCATTATCAGAAATAAATGGAGTAGGTAAAGCTATGAGAGTAGTTGAAATTTTTAAGAGAAACAGAATAAAGAGAGAAAGGAGAGCAGAGAGCCAAGCACTAAGCCTTGAGAGCTTCACGAAGAGGATACATCAGCAAAGAAAACAGAAAAGGAGGCAGGACCGTAAATGGTCCCGAAAACCAAAGGGGAAATTTCAAAGAGAAAATAGTCAATTGTGTTCAAAAGGAACAGAGACTAAGGAGTATGAGATCGGGGTGGGGGGGTTAGGCCACCGGCTCTGACAATTTTTCAAGTCTTTTCTGACTTTAGGGAGAACAGTTTGACTAGATGTAGTGGAAGCAATTTCTGGTCTCCTTTGTATTTGTCTACTGATCCAATTCATAAAAGCAAGATACTCCAGTATATGAAATAATGCACAAAAAGCTGGACTGAATGATAACCTCTTTGTTGTACTTCTCTATCATGTTTTAAATTTTGGATATTGGCTCTGAAGAATTAAAAGTTGACATTTATTCAGACCACGGACCAACGTAATGGTACCTTTGCTCTTTGTTGCCGTTTGCTACATACCTCAACTATGTCAGCTATGAGTCGTCTTGTCCGGACCCACATGGTACTATGTGTGGAGGGGTGGGCTTTATTGTTTTAACTTTTTCAGATTTCTCTAAGAGAGTAGAGATAACCAGTAACTCACAAAACTCTACTAGGTGTGGAGGATCTGCAGTGTCAGTGAAGAAAGTGTCCCTAGACATGTAATCAGAGATCTTTCAAAACATTAGAAGAATTTGATATTCTACTTGATACGAAGTATAATAAACATTATAGTTCTTGGGCAAGTTCTATAATCTAAGGGCCCTCCCAGTGCTGCCATTCTCTATGCCAGTGGAATATAAATTCCTGAAGGCAGAGACTATTTGTCTCTGTATCCCCAGTATAGTATCTTGAACTTAGCAAGTGCTTAAAAAATTCTTGTTGAATTAAATCCTGAAGTCCTTCATTCATTGACATGTCATTTCAACAAATACTTAAAATGTCAATCACATGTAAAGGTGCTGAACTACCCAGACAAAAAGGAATTGGTCCTAAAGTATAATAGAGTCTACTGATGAGCCACAAGAACAAAGATTAATAGATACAAAGTAACTTGAGGAAGAAGAGAACACCCCCCTTGTGACATTCAGCATCCTCGGGTCCTTCCAGCGCTGTGTTTTATGTTCTGTCACTTGCAGCTGCCGTGATTCTGAGTTTGGACAAAGGTCCTGGAAACCACCCTGTGGGGTGCTCCCTGCCCCTTGCCCAGAAGTGAAAGAGTGGGTCACGATGGGAACAGGCACAGGGAACCAATGAAAACACTCAAAGAAAAAGTAGGGAGAGTGGAGAAATTAAGGCAGTGATGGAATCCTATTAGATACATGGAAGGAAGGAGAGTCCACAGGAGAGAAGGTCCCACAGATTGAAATCTGAGAGTAGAAACTCCTGTCTTGGGGCAGTGAATCCTGTCTCATGGATTGGAGATGTGGAAAATACTTTATGTGACTCTGTTCCCAAAGCGATCAAAGCAATAATAAGCTGAGACCACATAATCACAGATGAAACATTTCTATGGCACATCACATTTTTCAGAGTACTTCAGATATAAGCATTGTCCCCATGATCTGCCCAAAGTTACATAACTATTAAATGATGTGTAGCCAGGACTAGAAACTAGCCCTCCAGACTCTCAGATTCAATGCTCTTTCTGCCAACCCACACTGACCTCATCACCCAGGCCACTAATGCTACCTGGGACTGGCAGTAAGCTGAGAAGTAAATCTGAGGCAAAAGGAAACATTCTCATTGCATTCCTAGGTCCTAAGGGTTCAGGTCCTGGCAGAACAAATGTCAGCAAATGGGTTACCAGGCAGATATTGTCTCCTACGTGCCTCCCCAAGTCTCTCATCCCTTCCCCTTCCTCGGGGCCCCAATTACCATTGTCACCTTCTTTTCTGGCCCATCAAGGTGACTCTCTATGTCCTCCACAAGAGCTGCAACCTCTTCTCCACTCTCTGGATGATGTAATTGGACCCAGGTCCGGGTCTCTCCAGGCAGCATGGTCAAGAACTGCTCCATTATCAGACGCTCCAGGATCTCTTTCTTTGTGCACGTGTCTGGCTTCAGCCAACTTTGGCAGAGCTCCCGGAGTCTGACCAGGGCCTCATGGGGCCCCGAAGTCTCTGCATAGCGCAACTGTCGAAAGAGACGGCGGGAGAGTTCCTGTTTAGGGCTGGTGTTCTTCAGCACGTGAGATTTTGGTTCCTTATCACCTTCTTCCTTCTTCACTGTCAAAAGCCTTTCTGAATCCAGAGTTGTTTCAGTCCACTTGTCCTTTTTTTCAGTCGACATCTCCACTGAGTTGACAGACTCCCTCCAGTTAGGATCTACTAAAGTTCCTAAACCTTAAGATTCAGTTTCTCCTCAGGATCAGAGTAGTGAATTATCTACCAATACATCAGGAAACACTGTTAATACAAGAAAATGATCGTGTTTGAAAGCTTAGTAATGGTAATGAAGATCTAAATAGATGTGTCTCTGAAAGCAAAGTCCCAGGTAGAAAGACAACACTCATCATAATACACACTCCCTTCCAGACCTCCCCCCCTCCCCGAGCAAGGGATAGAGAGGAGAGAAGGAATGTCATGTGTGAGATGAAGACAGTATATATAGAGAGGCTGGAAAGTTGGGGCAAAGTTGTGAAGGGCTTTAAAAACTAGAATGGATAGTTTGTTTATATTTTATCCTAGATGCAATGAGGAGCCAGTGGTGTTTATTGATTAAGGGAGTGACACGGTCACATCTGCATTTAAAGAAAATCACTTTCCCAGCTGTGTTGAAGACAGAGTGGAGTGGGAGAAGAATTAAGTAGGAAAATCAATTATGAAACTGTTAACAGTAGCCTAGAAAAGAAGTGATAAGGGCCTGTGGGAAACAGTCAGATGCTAGAGAGGTTATGGACTTCAAAAACAGACTGCATGGAGTAAATGAGAGTGGGGAATTAAGAATAATAACATAGTTTTGAACTTGGAAATCTAGAAGAACTGGTGGTACTTTTTACAATTCTTCTCAAACTGTATGCTAAGATAAACTCCAAACTGATACATGACTTAAATATAAAAGGGGATATCATAAGCACATTAGAGCAGCAAGGGAATAAAACTAACTTTTAGCTCTATAGATAGGGGAAGAGTTTATGAATAAACAAGTGACAGAGAGGATCACACAAAACAAAGTGGACAATGTCGATAACATAAAATTTAAAAGGTTTTATACAAACAAATCCAATAGTTAATGATTAGAAAGGAAACAGTGGGGGAAAAAAATCTTTACAGCAAATTTCTCTGATAAAAGTCTCATTTCCAATATATATAAAGAACTGATTCAAACTTATAAGAATAAAAACCATTCTCCAATTAGTAAGTGGTCAAAGGATATGAAAAGGTAGTTCTCAAAAGGAAGAAACTCAAACTATGAACAACAAATCATTGATAATCAGAGAAATACAAATTAAAGAAACTCTCAAGTTCCACTTCATATCCATCACTTTGTCAATGCTTACCAAAAAACCCATAGGGGCAAATGCTGGAGGGGCTTCTGGAAAATGGGTTTACTAGCACATTATTGGTGGAGCTCTGAGGTGGTCCAAAAATTGTGGTTATCAACTTGGAATTATGCCCTAAAAGATACTTTTTTTCCCAGCAATAACCACAAAGTCTATCCCCTAAATCTCAAAGAAAAGGGAAATGATTGTATAGGTATAAAAATATTTATAGCTGTTCTTTTTGTAGTAGCAAAGAACTGGAAACTAAGGTGATGCTCATCAACTGGTGAATGGCTAAACAAATTATGATATATGAAGGTAATGAAGTACTGTTATGCTATGAGAAATTAATGCTGTCAGAGAAACTTGAGAATATGTATATTAACTGATGCAAAGTGAAGTGACTAGAGCTAGGAGAAAAAATCATATTATAACATCAATGTTGTAAAAAAGATAAATTTGGAAAGACTTAATTAAACTGATCAGTGCAATGATTATCCCTGATTCCAGAGGGCTAATAAAGAATGCTTCCCTCCTGCCTTCTAACAGAAAGGTGATGGACTAACATGCAGAAGGAGAAAACATGCTTTTGGATATGGCCAATATGGAATTTGTTTTGCTTGACTGAACTTACATGATAAAAGAGCTTTGTATTTCTTTTTTCTCCCAGTTGGAAGGGATATGGGGAAATGGGAGGGAGAAAAAATGCTTGATAATTTTAAAAAACATTTTGGAAAATAAAAATACTAAGGTAATTTAGGCCTACCATTCAGAGTTATGAATTGCTATGGATCACTAGATTTTCTTACTCATGTGCCTCCCTGCTAGATCTTTCTAAATATGTGTTTACTCTTCCACAAGAATACCATGTGAATTGGTGGGAGAGTATGATTCACGTTAACAAGTGGACTGTTATATTTTGATTACTTCTACTTTCCCTTTCAATTAAGATTATTCTTGCTCTTGCCTTCTTGTTTAGTAAATGTTTCATGTTTAAGAGTCAACGGTGTTATTCCTAATATCTGATTTCTTACCATCTCAGGGAGAAGGGAGAAGAGAGAGAGGAGAAGGAGAGGGAGGGAAGGATAGAATTTGGAACTCAAAACTTTTTTAAAATGTTAAAAAATTGTTTAAACATGTAATTGGGAAAAAATAAAATACATATTTTTTAAAAAGAGTCAGTGGTGTTAATGTGATTGACTTTGTAGGGGCTCAGGAGCTACAGTTATAGCAGTTCTTTTCATAGTAACCAAAAACTACAAACTAAGGGGGTGCCTATCTACTGGGGAATAGTTAAATTGTGTCCTATAAATGTAATGGAATATTATTGTGCCATAAGAAATGACAAAATGGGCAGTTTCAGAGTAAACTGAGAAAACCTCTATGAAATGATGCAGAGTGAAGTGAACAGAAACAGGAAAACAATTTAAACAATGACAACATAGAGAAAAACAACTTTGAAACACTTCACAACTCTGATCAATGCAATGATAAGCAGAGTCCAGAGGGCTGAAGATAAAACACACCACTCATCTCTGGCCAGAAAAGTGAGGGGCTTAAAATGCAGAATATGAAACATTTTTTGACATGGCCAATTTGGGCATTTGTTTTGCTAGAGTGTGCGTATTTGTTATGAGTTTTGTTTTTCAGGTTTTTAAATTGCTCAGTGAGTGGGAAGTGGAAGGAAGAGATATTAAAAGCTTGTAAAAATAATAAATAAGAAATGTCCAATAGGCAATTGGCAATGAGAGCTTAAGCTCAGGTAAGAGACTAAAGTTAGGTATACAAATTTGAGCTATCTGCATAAAGATGATAATTAAACCCATGGGAGCTGATGAGATTACTGAGAGTTTATCCTAAAAGATGTCTCCATCAACAGAAGGTAAGCTCCTTGTGAGTACTTTTGTATGCCTGACCCTGAGCTTAAAAAATTCTTGATAAGTATTCAGTTGTGTTTTGGATGTGTTTAAAAAGCCTTTTATTAATGACTTGGAGCTAGAATTCCTGTAATCCTTTTTGATCTCTCAAATTCAACCTTGCGCTCAATGTTTCTCAAATTTTTTGGTCCCAGAAACCCTTTACATCTTAAAAATTACTGAGGCTCCCCCCAAAGAGCTTTTGTTTATAAATTATATCTATCAATATTTGATTAATTAGAAATTTAGACACAAGAAATGTATCTTAATCTTACACTAAAAATAGTTTCAGTCTCAATGAGGAAAAGGAAAAAGGTAGATTTTTACTGAATAAAAAAAATTTAATTTAAAAATTAAAAGGAAAACAGTTTTGACCTCATGGGACCCCTGAAAGTGTCTCACTTTGAGATCACACTTTGTGAACCACTAGTCTAGATCTTCCCCAATTAATGAACTTCTTCATGTGACTCTGTTGGCCTCTTTGTCTTTCCTTCTATCTAAACCCCGGCCCTGGTCCACAATATACAGGAACAGAAAGGAAGGAACAAGGGGACAAGGAGGGAAGGAGAAGGGAAGGATGGGGATGGGAGGGGAGGAGTGAGGAGAATCAGTCAATAAGCATTTATTAAACACTATATGTTAGGTACTTGCTAAGTGCTGGGGATAGAAAGGCAAAAGTAGTCTCTGCTCTCGAGCTCACAAAATAATGGGGTAGACAACAAACAAATATATAACAATGTACATATAGGATAAATAAGAAATAGTTAGCAGAGGAAAGGCAATAGAATTTGGAAGGGTTGGGAAAGGTTTACTGCAGAAAAAAGGATTTTAACAGGGACCCAAAAGAATCCAGCAAAGTCAGCAGGTAGAATTTGGGGAGGGAGAGCATTCCAGGCTTGGAAAAGCCAAAGAAAATTCTAGAAGCAAAGAGATGGAGTGGCTGTGGAAAGATAGGAGGGTGCTAGGTTTATGGAGGGTGTTGAATGCCAAAAAGAGTATTTTGTATTTGCTCCTGAAGGCGGAGGCGGGAGGGAGTGGGGGGGGGGGGTGACATGGTCAGACCTACACTAAAGTGTAGGAAAATCACCTTAGTAGCTGATTGGAGGGCAGATTAGAGTGGAGAAAAGACCTAAGCAGGCTGACTCACCTCACCGGCAGACTGGCTCGCCAGCAGGCTACTGGAATAATCCAGAATGGTGGCAGTGTCAGAGGAGAGAAGGGGGTGTATACAGAGATGTTGCTAAGATGGAATCAACAGGCTTTAGCAACAGCGTGGATATGGCTGGTGATGGATAGTGAGGAGTTAAGGATGACAGGTTGACACCTAGGTTGGGAGCCTGAGGGACTGGGAGGATGGCATCACCCATTACAGTAACAGAGTTTGTTTTTTTGTTTTTTTCGGGGGACGGGGACGGGATTAGGGAGAAAGATGAGTCCCGTTTCGGATGTGCAGAGTTTAAGATGTCTATGAGACAGAGGGAGAACTGAAAAAGAAAAAAAACAACACCTTCACCCCTAGCCCCTGGGACCCCACCCTCATCCCCAGCCCATGGGACCCCATCCCAGTCCAGCCCCTGCCCCGCCCGGCAAAGCTGAGAAGGGAGGAAAAGCAGCCTCTTCCCACCCAGCCCCCGGGGCTCTCTGTTCCCCCTGCCTCTGGACTGAGGTCGCCCGGAGCCCCCAGCCCTCTGCATTCACCCAGGGTCTCGCCCCCCCCCACCCTGGACGCTATAGGGCGCTTCAGTCAGGCTGTGAGAAGCCAGTGCATGCCCCTCACCTCGCTCCACGGATCTTCTGTCTAGTTCTCCAGGTCTCTCCACTCCTCTCTAAGAAGACTGGAAGGTTCTGGTTCTTGGGCAGCCTCGTTCACAGGGAAAGCAGGGGAGGCGGGGCAGGCTAAGGAGAAGGCGGAGAAGGAGGAGGGGGAGGGGGGCTGGGGAAGGGGGCGGTGGGAGAGGGGAGAGTTGAGGCTTAGAGGAAATGAAGGATTCTGGGAGGCAAAAGTGTGCTGGAGAGCATCTCGGGGATGGAGCTCCAAAGTATGGACAACAAGTCTTGCTTCTGAGAATAAAGCTCATTGGTTGATTGACTGGTCAATTGGAATTTATATTGCATGAAGAAGGAAAGTAACATGAAATAAGCCTGGAAAGGTAAACTGGAGCCAAAGTGTTAACAAGTTTTAAGGGTCAGGCTGAGCTCTTATTTTATTCTAGGAATAACAGTGAATTGCTGAAGCTTTTCAAGCAGAAGAGTGAACTCTACCTTAGCAAAATGGCTTTGACACGTGTAGAGAGGATGGCAGGTAAAGGGGTATGCAGAGAAAGAGGGTGAATAGCACTGTACTAAGCTAACATAATGTTCAGTTTTGCCTACTCATCACCCTACAAACTCCCTAATATTTCAGTACTTCAAGGAATTTCAGGGTTGAAAGGGACTTCATTTGTCATCTAGTCCAGTATATACTTGAATCTGCTCTACAACATACATAGGCAACTGGCAAGCATGAAGCATTTATTAATGTCTGTCAATTTGTTATTTAATAATTCAGAATTTAATAATTTATTAATGTCTGTCAATCACCATTTCCCAGCTAAGTGTTGGGGACAGAAATACAAGCAAAAAGAAAGAGAATCCTTGCCCGCAAGGAGTTTATGTGGACTTATGAGCTAGGAAGGAGTTTGGAGACCTTCATTTTACAAATGAGCAAACAGGCTTAGATGGATTAAGTGACTTTCTCACAGTCACACAGCTAGTAAGTGTTTTGATTTGAACTTAAGTTTTCCTGATTTCAAGTCCAATACTACCCCTTAAATATGGGGTGTCCCAAAAAATTATCTCATTTGATCCTCAC